GAAATTTCTAACCACCAGGTGAACTCCCACAGTATTCTTGTGAGGCATGGGACCAAAAACCAACAGTACACTTAACACATTGACCATCAGCCGAAAGCATATCTTCACCACCAGACCCACACTCTTATCAGAGCCTCCATGAGTCTCATTAGGTGGATTTAGGCTATAGAACATTTCTGCATGAGACTCAAGTAGGACTGTATTAAGGCAGGCTAATAAGGTAACATTGTGTTACCTTGTGTTTATCACAAAAAAGGTGACACCTTCAAAAAAGAAAAATAACTTAAAACATACTTGATACAACACACACACATACACACACACACACACACACACACACACACACACACACACACACACACACACATACATGTGTACACACACACACTTCAATGTTTGAAGGCTCATTCAAAACACAAATGCCTAGATCTTCTCTCTCATTTCCTACAACAAAACCACCTGACCTCACAGTTTGTGGATTTTTTTCTCATAATCTTTAATCTATACAAATCAAGCTTGTGCCAATTGATATCCTTCAGGCATTGGTCCCACCCCACCCCACCCCTACCCCCTGGCCACCAGGATGCAAAGTTGTTCATGGAGACATCCTCTGTCTGTTTTGTACACCAGTCAAGAACTGAGCCTGAGACATAATCAGTGCCCATAAAGTATAGATTCTGGATTTCTTCCCACAAGAAACAGACTGGCCCCTGGTCTGTTTGTGTCATTTATTTCCTTTTCTCTTTAAGAGGAAGTAGAGAGAAAACAGACTTCCCTCTCTCCTACCCTGTCCCTTGTGCTCACTGGCTTCCACACCAGCTCTCAACTTAATTTCATTAGCTGGATTTAACCTAACTGGCCCCATATATTCCATTATCATAGCTTGATTTAAACTAACTGGCCCCTAATGTTCCATTATCATAAATTTCCCAGTGGCTGATGGTTGTGGTTTCCTACCTGGCATCTCAGTGTCTGACTCTCTTAGGTGTCTTTGCTCCATGTTGCACCTTCTCTGCCCACCAAAATGGCCTCAGATGCTTTTTTCAGCTTCATATTCATCAGAAGGAAACACAGCCCTCAGAGTACCTGAGCACTGACAGGTAGCTTCTATCATAGCCTTATTGACTGGAAGCCAAACCCACAAAGCTGGTCAGACTCATCTCACAACTACTGTTTCCTCTTACCATGAATGGCAATGAACTGAGTGTCCTAACATCCTACCACTGTGCAATAGGCACAGGACTTCAGTGTCACAATGATCTGGACCTGTGGCACTGTCATTGCACACAGTCACTGGCAAGCTCCATCATCCTCTAATCTTCTATATGTCCATCCAGGACCCCTTCTGATTCAAGCCCAGCAATAGACTGGTCCCCTAAACAGCTTCCCTTCATTGATTACCCTAAATTATTAACTCCTACTTCCATATGTCAAATTAAATTGAAAGGAGAGTGAATTTCTGCTCTGAAGAAGGAGCACTCAAAGTTGGAGGCTAAGGATATGATACTCTTTGGTACTTGTCACCTCATATCTGGGACAGTGCAGAAGAACACGGCACATCATTTCTGACAACATTATCCTTTTGTAGCAGTACAAGGAACATTGGGAACATGGTACAGATTAGGGGGGTCACAGATGCTCAGCTTCACATGGATCATTTCATACTGATGGAGGCTGGAGCAGCATGCAGGCCGCTCTCAGCATCATCTTTCTCACATCCATCAGTAGCATCATCTTTCTCTCATCCATCAGTCCATCATCACAGCACTAAGGGGCTCCAAGACACTGGAAAGATGATAAACACAGGATTCATCCTCAGGCCAAAGCCATTTGAGAGAGGAAAGCATGTTTTCATGAGAAGTTATCTCTTCATTAACAGTAGGTGAGGATGTAGAATGCTTCGTAAACTATAACGCAAGAAAGGGGAGGTAAGGTGAGTCAGACAGACAGGAAAGGGGTGATGGGTAGATGGGAGGGGTTATTAGCCAGCTGAAATCATAGAGCAGAACAAGAAGAATCCAGTTGAAATGTTCAGAGAACAGTGAAAGCCTGGCTTCAGGGGCTGAGATCACAGGGCCAAGCAGTTCAGCTTTTCGCTCATGAACCATTAGTTCAATAGATTATCCCACTGGACATTCCCAATATAGCAGATGCTGTGCCAAGAGAATAAAGGAAATATGAATCCCACAGAAACCACTCCCATATTCATGGATCATGCCTTAGTGGAGACAACAACTAGATGAGGGATGGGAAGGAAAGAGCAAGTTCTATGGGGCTGGTAGGTAGACATCAGGAGTAGAGCTCAGGAAAATCATCCCCAGGGTAGGAATAGCAAATGCAAATACCTCTGTGCAAACAGCTCAACATCTATGGACACTAACAGTGGACAGAACGGCTGCAAGGGGGAAGACACTGTGTGAGAAACGTGGGGTGAGGCTGCAGGGTGACCAGCCTATCTTAGAGATGAAACCCATGCAGCACAGGGGGAGTGGTGAGCTCCAGAAGTAACTGGAACACACTGGGGTATTCTAAGAGAAAATGACCTAACAGATACATGTTTCAGTGAAGTCATTCATATAAGTTTGTAGAGGACACAAGTGAAGGGGCAAGCATAGATGTGAAGACACCAATCGATCATGTGACTACCGCCAATGATCAGGGGAGACATGCTGAGTCCACAGGAGGTACCCAGAACAAAAGCCACACTTTTAGTATTTGGAATCAAAGGTTGATGACTGAGACTGTAGCCCACTGATATATCAATTTCCTACCATGCACCAGTCCCATAGCTCAATCCCCAGTACTGCAAATAATAATAATAATAATAATAATAAAACAAAAGTAATGCCCAACCACATGTCACAGCAAGTGAAAGCTTGCTTTACTTCTCTAAAATCCATTATTTGATTGTATGTGTGGAAGTGGGAAGGAAGCAAGCAGTAGGGGAGAACATCCCTGACTGACAGGGCCAGCCTGAAAAGATGAAACTTCGATGGAGGCAGAGATGCCAGTTGCGAGGTTACCCTCTGAAATCAATACCCTTTGTCCTCAAAGGTCAGAAGGGTCAGAAGGGAAGGGGGACACCTCACTGGAGAAGTATCATGGCAGACTAGGAACGGAATCACGTGCTGTGTTCCAAATACACATTTATTTCTAATCTGGCTGTGACCAGAATCAGCAGTGCCTTGGGAGAATGTGTCAGGGTGTCCAGGACAACCATCATTTAAAAGACCAAAAGAATCAGGCAGGGAATGATTTGAGAGGGTAGGGAAGAAGATGGGATGGGAAGAACAATAAACAATACTGGAGACAATGTAGAAGCTATTTTTATGAATTTTCTTATACCTATATGTCTAAGGAGTTTAAATGGAATTAACTCACAGGGTAAGGGGATAATGGTCTTGCCAGAAGCCATAGATAGTCAAGCAAAAGCCCAGTGTCAGGTATGGGTGCCTTCCTTCAAATTGTTAGTCAAGGAGTCCCAGAGACTTCCAAACCAATAGAGGCTGCTGTCATGGCTCTTAGCTGCCCAGCAGAGCTTGAAAGTAAGTTTCTATGGATGGAAATACCACCTACTAGTCACAGGAATTGATGAAATCAAGCTGTTACTGGCCTGGAAAGCATCCTTCTTGATGGATAGATTTCATAGTACCAGAAGGTGCTATGCATGCTGCCAGGGAAGAAAACGACCAACTACCATACCCCATCTGTGAACCCTATAAGCTACAATAACAACTGGCTGGACAAAATATGCTCATGGGTACAATAGTAGCATGAGAGCTTTGGGGAGTGACCAATAGCTGTCTGACTACATTTAAGGCTTACTCAATACAAAGAAAATCAATCCTAGTGCTATAAACCTGGCCAAGATGCTGTGGCTGGAGAGGGCATAGACCCAGACCCTGGAAGAGAACCAACTACTATCATTTTGCTGAATTGCTATAGTATCCATCTGCCTTCTAAACACCCATATTGTACTTCCTCTCCCTGCCAGGTTCAGGGCATGTCTCAAAAGAAAGAGCAGAAAGGTCGTATGAGCCAGAGGATGGGGAGGACTCTGTGAGTTGATGGGTTTCTAGCAAAAATGACAAGGCTGTGGCACACATGAACTTTTAACAGCTGTGGTAGTCTTCATAGGAACGGCACTAGATCAAACCAGTCAGCATTGCAGCATGGACAGGGCAAGGGCTCGCAAGGCCCTACTTCTGATTGAGGAGCTACAGGCAGTCCATGGCTGCTGATGGTGGGTCAGTGGTTGCTAAAATGTGGCCCATGTCCTAGTGGATGACCCTACAACCATATGCATATGAGAAAAGTTAACTGAATTTGGTAAAAAAAAAAAAAAAAAAAAAAAAAAAAAAAAAAACATAGCCCCAAAAGGCATGTCATTCCAGGGATGAGTAAATGGAGAGTTGTGGAAGGAGCTTGGGTTAGTTAGCTTCAGGACTGGGATGAGTCACCAGGGAGAATTTAGCTCTTGGGTTTATGAAATTGAGAAATCCCAAATCCCTTTTGGAAAACTGCCATGATTGTCTAAATAGGACTCTGATGTAGATAACAGCAGTCCACTCTGATAAGAAAGAAAATAAGCCGAACACAATAGGGTCTTTCTGAACTACACTGCCCGGGCTTAGGCTGGATGTCTTGATCATTGCTCAAGCTTTGGAAATCCAGTCCTCTCTCCTCCTCCCCTCCCCTCCCCTCCTCTCCTCTCCTCTCCTCTCCTCTCCTCTCCTCTCCTCTCCTCTCTTCTCCTCCCCTCTCCTCTCGCCTCCCCTCCCCTCTCCTCTGTTCTGCTCTGCTCCTCTCCTTCTCATACCCCCATCCCTCCCTTCTGTTCAGCCCTACCCCTTTATTTTCTATTCTCTACAGACACCCACATCCCTCTGTGGAAAAGTTAGCTTTCAGTTCTCCACAACCAGCCTACAACTCTGAAGCAGAAGCAGAAGCAGCAGCAGCAGCAGCAGCAGCAGCAGCAGCAGCAGCAGCAGCAGCAGAAGCCTGAAACCACAGTGATTTGGAGAAAAGGAGGCTTAGGTAAAGCCTGAGCCGATGATCACACTCAGTAAGTAGGGGAAGAAATTGGCTCTGCAAAGATTTCTGAGCGAAAGTCCTACCGGGATAGTTGAGACTTGGTGTAAGGAAATAGCAGCTTAAACGCACAACAGGGGGATGACCAGATTGTCCCTCCCCTAGGACTTCTCTGGTCCGAGGACTGCACAGCCCCCTGTATACATTGTTTATGTCTCCCAGATCCTCTTTATAGATCAGTCAGCCCTATGATACTGCAGCTTGTTTTCATCCAGTCCAAAGTCTGGGCTTGTCTGAAATGCTACAAGATAGGTGGGAATCAGAATGGGACATGCACGGGCTGTGGGTGGCTTTGGCAGCATGTGTCTTTATTAAGTAGACTCGATTTAGTACTGGATAAAGAGGAAGACAAAATTAGAATCGTGGTTGGCAGAAATAGTCTCCATCTGGCACTGTAATTACACATTGTCTTGACCTGAGCAACCGTTGCTGTTCCAAATGTTGTTTCCTTCGAAAAGAAAATTTTAAAACATCTCGTAGACAAAAGATTAGGAAATGGGTAGTTCCTAATATCCTCCGTACCATTTAGACAAGGAAGCTGTATCCTGCATCTCTATTCTGGTTCTGTCTTTTATAGTTAATGAAATCTCTAGTCACCCAGTGAATGTCACCCCTTGACAGCAGGAAAAACAGAAGAGATCTCCAGGTTCATTTGCACTGGTGACATCAGACACTATTTCAATGGGAACATGATGACTCAGTGTCCGCCTTGAAGCCCTCACTCCTTAAATTCTTTTAAAGTTAAACCTGGGTTGCTGCCGGCATGCAGCATTTCCAGAGACCCACAGTGCTCTTTATATCAACCCTTGACTTCACCTTCAATGCAAACGGGAAACTGTATTTGGCTCTAATCTCCCCAGTATAGCACTGCCAGGAAGCAGGCTTCTGTGTGGTTGGATGGTGCCACCTACTGGCCACATGCGTCCTTCTCTCTCCCTCTTGTTCTATTTTGTTTTTGTTTTTCTGTTCTAGTATTTGGTGTGTCCTCTAACTTCACAGAGACCTTGCTTTCAGCTTTTCTGCTCCACAGCTGCAGCAAGCTGGGCTGATAAGCAAATGAAATCCCCATGTGATCCGCTGCTGTTAAGGCTCTTGATGGGGGAAGTCATGGTCAGACACCAGGCTCTTGTTTACTGTCAGATGCCAGGTTGTCATGAAGACTCCATCTCCTTGAACCCTGCCCTAAATGTTCACCCAGGTGCCCTGGTGATGCAGGCCTCCCCTCCCTTGCCTCAGTCCTGATGGTGTGCAAATCATCACTAGACCCCAGAAACCTTCCCCATTCCCTCAAAGGGCTCCTGCACTCCTAGGTATCTGAAAGAATGGATTGCTTTTAAACAGAAAATGACACTGACTGTCACTACACATAACAAGTGCCTTATGTACATTTCACTGGATGCACAAGCTGAAATTAGCCTGTCAGGATCTGCCCATTGTGGATGCCAGTGTGTCAAGTGACACAATTAGCTCAAGAGAATAAGGAGCAGGCTTGTCAGAGAGCTTCTTTTCTTGGTTGCATCCCTTCATGTGCCTGGCTTAATTCATATTCTTCCCATGCTTGGAGGTATGAGTGTTCTTGGGGGGGATAGGGGGGGTGGGTGTGGGTGTGAGCACACTCCCATGCATGTCCTGTCCAAACTTCAAGACAATCACTGGGGGAAAATCTAGCATTTAAAAAATAAGGTTCTAAATGCTTTTTTCCCTTTTACTTTATTTCTGCAAATGAGAATTTATCAAAGGCTAAATCCCAGTCCTTTGTGATAAAAAACAAAGTATGCCAGTAGAAAAAAATATGTAAAATTCACATTGCTGCTGGAGAGATCAAAGCTTAAGAATGTTGAGCAGAATGAGTAATTCCCATCAGCTCTGAGGCTTCAGGACACCAACAAGCTCTTCTTAGAAAGCAAGGTGTCAGAAACATGTGTCTGAGATGCTGAGGCAGGGACATGAAGGGTCTCTCCATTACATTTCCCACTTCTAACAAAAAGCAGCTTGTGATGATCTGACCCTTTGGAGAACAGCCTCAATGCAGGCCACTCTAACACAAGTGTCTGCTATAGAGCTAACACTACACAGACATGAGTTCCACTCTAACATGAGTGTCTGTCAGAGAGCTAACATGGCACAGATGTGAATATCCAGGGGGGATGTGTATATCCAGATGCTCAAGTATTAAGAACTGAGATTGTCACAGAATCAACCCTCAAGTTGAGTTAGTCAGCTTTCTGCCAAGTAACAGAACACCAGAGATCGACTTCAGGCAAGGAAGGGTTGTGTTGGTGTTTACACTCCGGGTTTTCTGGTCTGTGGTGGTTGGTCCTGTTCTGGCTGCCTGTGTTGAGGAGTAACATTCATGGTGGGGTGTGCAAAGGAACATAAAGCCTTTACCCTCTGGCTGCTGGAAAGCAGAGCAGTGAAGAACCATTTCCAACGTTCTCTTCAAGGACATGTCCCCAGTGATCTCACTTCCTTCCTTGAGGCCCTACCTCTTAATGGTTCCATCATTTAATCATCAGATGGGGACCAGCCCTTTAAGATGTATCTTGAAGCCATGGGCAAGGCTTGAACACCCCTTCAATAATAAAGAGCCACATGACAAAGATAAAAAAGCCACCAGTAGAATGGGTAGCTGTGGCTGGTTGTGACATGCAGCCTGGATAGGAGAGCAGCGAAAACAAAGCTTCAGGAGGAGAGCTGGAGCCACAGTCCCCTGGTGCTGGTCTGTTCTTCTCTTGCAATGCCCCTCCCTCCTCTAGGGGGGTGCTAGCCTTCTTCATGTTCAGAACCTTGGGGAGCCTGACTTCTGGGAATGAAAAATAGGAAGGAAGGCACCATGCCACAAAACTTCTAAAATAGCAACTACTTTATATTGTGGGATAGCCTGTGCTCTGTCATGTGTGCTTTTGACTACATTTAGTTCCGATGTATGTATATATACAATTTTAGCAGCTGCAGAATACACAGTACCTTCCAGGGACACTTGTTCATAATTTTGACACGTTTCTACACCACAATGGACATCAGAGATCCGTGAGTGCACAGAGTCCTCCTCCTTCTACCACGTCAAATCTGTCTTCCTACTTCTTCCTCTTTGTCTCTGGCCCAAGCAAAGCAGAAGCCAGTGCCCAGTCGCTATGGATAAACGTGCGTTTTTCTATACTTTTATATAAGGGAGTTTCGTTCTGCTTCTTTCACTCTGTACAATCATTCTAAGGTTTATCTAGATTGTGGCAGTCAGAGTTGAATCATTTTTATACCTAGTCTTTCAAGGGGGAATTTCCACAGACACTCTTCCTTCAGTGTATATTTGGGCATACAGACATTGTCCCAGCCCAGTTTTAGACTACAGCAAATAAAGCCACTGTGAGCATTTGTGTGCAAGTCTTTGTGTTTATGCACCTTCTGTTTCTTGGGTAAATACCCAAGAACAATGGACATAATGGACCCATGTCTGGGTCTCTTGGGAGACACGTATGAAGGTTCTGAGATAAGGCCAGGACTCCTATAGTGTTGTGTGATGCATTCATTAGGTCTCATGGCATGTGAGTTACCAAGCTCAGTATCCCAGGCTCTCTGTGTGCTCTTCAGCACTCTGCAACCACACTCCTTCATATCAAACCTGGCCAACTTATGCCTTACTGTGATCTTCACCTGCCTTTCCCTAAAGTACTGGCTATCCCTGGATGCACTCATGCTGTGGTTTTCCTTGATGTTTCCTCTGTGACAAACCTTATAATCACTCATTAACAGCATTTCTGGCTTCACAATCCTGACTTGAAATTATTTTGCATAAAAAAATGAGAATTTTTTTCACCAACATCCATCATTTGCTGGTAGAACAATAAAAGTGTGTTTTACCATAAATTATTCATAAGAAGACGTAGTTTAGTAAAAATCAACTAAAATTATATTTTAGTTTTATGCCCAAATACATCTGTGGAAAGAAACTTTCCAAACACCAATTTGTTTATCAAAGCAAAGATGTGTTATCATCTGAGAAACATATTTTCTCATGAAAGTTGATCTCATATGAACAAGCACAACCCTTAAATCATTTTGTAAAAGAATTAACTCTTACTATGTTTACTTTTAAAACCTATTTACTTTCAAGTGCAATAACCTAGAAGTTACAGATATTTTTAAAGTCCTCCTGGAAAAATTTTTATGCTTTATCTTATTATTGTCATGTTTATAAAAAGTAAGGGGTATGGTCTTACTATTCACATTCATTTCAAAATTCTCAAAACTAATTGGGTCAGACTATAAGGAAGGTAAACAAATAACATTGGATAAACATATTACTATGCATACATAGGATTTACATATGTGTATGGGCATGTGAGCTAGAAAGAAAAAAATCAGGTATAGTTTCTAGTTTAAAAATCATTACAGATGACTTTTCCTTCTCCGGTAGCATGCATAGCACCTTCTAGCATGGTGGAAGCTTTCAAATGAGTTCTAACCTGACTTCACCATGTTCTTCAGCTTAAGCAGAAAAGCAGTCATCAATCTTACCTACCTGTGCTCCTTGAAAACTACAACAATGGCCAGCCTGACAGAATGTGAACATTGGTACAGTAGTGAACCAAATGTCATGGGAGGAATCAACCATATCTGTTGGATTTAAGTCCAAACCCACAATCTGAAACTCACACCAGACCCCATTATTAAGCCAACAACCAATGGCTACACAGGTCATAAGCCCTAGGGGAGAACCGACTACTACTATTCTGCTAAATGGGTAGAGTGTTGAACCAACCCCTTATGAGCTTTCATTACACCCAGAGATTAATTAGTGTGTCCCGGTCCTCATGAGAGAAGTTTCTTTTTGCAGTAGATGATGTTGACACAGGGACCCACAACTGGCCAAGGTGCAGAGAAGACATCTGTGTAGATGGACGATCAACCCTAAGTACAACCTATCTATACTACACCTCTCCTCCCAAGTCTCAGAGACCGTTGCTAAGGAAGGGG